GTCTATCTACTTACCATTCTCTGTACCCCACACTGATTGTACCTCTTTATCTATCTCTACCACCTTCAGTCCCTACTTCCTCCAGTACACTCTCTCTCACACTCACACACACACACACACACACACACACACACACACACAAATATAGCTCCTTTGAAGCATAGCTGTGTTGCCTCTTCCTGCAACACTGCAAGACAAGACAAAAGTCTGTCATCTCACATCTGAGCAGCGGGGATAGAAAGCACAGGTAAGATTGATGGCCCACAAAGAACACTGGTTAAGAGATTTGATTTTCTGTCTTCGCATGTGTGTAAAAGAAGAGATGGGGTGGGGATGAGTAAGAGGTTGGGTGTGGAGGAGGGGATCCAGGAAGAGGAACAGCTTTAATGCCACAGTGAGAAAGAGGGGAGAGAGAGGTGTTGTGACATTTCTGATGCTCATTTTGCAATTGAATAATGATCTCTCCGGAGGCCTGACCTAGTAACGTATGCATGTGTGAGCATGTTTGTGCAAGCGTGTCCACAGCTTTAAGTGTGTATGTGTGCTAGCACAATGTATACACGGGGGGTGAATGAGTGTGTGTAATTGTGCTCCTTTAGAAAATGTGTAAGAAAGAGGAGATAACCAGGGGAAAAGTGAGTGCAGAGGAGAAAAAGGGTGGAGGTTTGCTCTTTAACTATAATGCAACACAATACTTCCACCTACTGGTGCAAATGAGTCATTACAGCTAGTTGGTGTCAGTTACACTACATCACTGCAGCCAAGGACAATTCTCATCTCATCGGCTCACCTGCAGGAGCCCTTCTAATGACTGCTACTTTGTATAATTACAGATTGTGTAATTTACATAATAGGTGTGCTTAGTATTAAAAACAATGAAGATCACAGCATGGCAGCTTAAACCATATCTACTATATCATATCATATCATATCATATCATATCATATCATTGTCTCAGTTGTTCATTCATGAGTCTTAAAGGGTTACTGTAGGGTCATGTACATCTCTCACATATACACACACACGTACAACCTTAGAGTGGCCTTTCTTACCTGCTAACAACCTACTCGTTCATCAGTGGCATTTGCCAGGGGAGCTTGGTCCATCATATGTACTGTATCGTGTGCTGGTTGGTTCCCTGGTGGCCAAACCGTCTTTGACCCAGCCTGTATCTAGCTCAGGGGGGAATACAGGAGTACCGGTTATCATTTCCAGCACTTGCTACAAGACATTTGGTGGGGGGAAAAAAATTGTTTCTACAGTGACAAGAAAAAGTATGTGAACCCTTTGGAATAACCTTGTTTTCTGCCTTAATAAATCATAAAGTGTGATTTCATCTTCATCTAAGTCACAAATGTGGGCAAACACAATGCTTATACTAATAAAATACAAATAATTGTACTCTTTTGTGTCTTTTTCTGCATTGAATACACTGATTAAACATTCACAGTCCTGGTGGGAAAAGAATTTTGTATCTTTGTTCCTTACAGCTCATTCATATTCTTTTGGAGATATTCAGATATCTGGTGTGAATGGCTTTCTTGAGGTAATTTCACAGCATTTCTATTGGGTTAAGATCTAAGCCACTCTTTCTTTGCTTGGGCTCATTTTGTAGGAGATTTACTTTGGTTTTTAAGGTAATTGCCATGGTGCATCAACCACCTTCTGCTGAGCTTCAGCTGGGAAACAACCATCCTGACATCACCATGTAAGATACCTTGGTAAACCCGTGAATTTATTTTCCTCCTGATGGAAGGCTGTTCAGAGGCAGCAAAACAGCTGTGCATCATGACGTTGCCTCTGCTGTACTTCACTGCTGGGATGATGCTTTTTCAACCATATGCAATGTTGTGTGTACAGTGATGTTTTTGAAAGAACAAAAGCTTTTCTGTGGTGTCCTGCTCCATGCAACCATGCGCCATGATTTGCATATGGTAAACACATGGACAGAGATATTAACCAGCTCCAGTGATTCCTTTAAGGCTTTAGCTGTTACTCGGGGCCTAACTATACTGACTTTTTTGGGCACCCACTTGTAGGGGAGACAAATCACAGTATTAAATTGTCTTCATTTATAGACAGTTTAACTGTGGACTGATCAATATCTAAACTTTTTGAAATTACTTTGTAACCCTCTCCAGCTTTATGATCATAATTCTTCTGAGATCTCTTTTTTTATTAGGCATGGTGCACATCTGCAGATGCTTCTAGTGCAAAGCAAACTCAAAATGCCTGAGTGTTTTATATATAGCATAAAGTAGATCTAATCCTGTTTCATTGATTGGACTTGAGGTTTGCTAACTCCTGACTCCTGAAGTCATTAGCCTGAGGCTTCACATACATTTTCCCACCTACACTGTGAATGTTTGAGTGAAGCATTCGGTATCGATAAATTTGGTTGTAATTAGTTACATGTGTTTTTATTCATAATTATAAATGAGTGAATGCATATTGAATTATACATAAATGCAGATCATTCCAAACATTTTGCTTACTTCTTTTGTCACTAAGGAGAGTAAGATGTAATAGTTTATCTTCTTTCACTTCCTTCACTTTTTCTGCTGTCTGTATTTTTAACTCAGGCTACGAAAGGAAGGATACACAGTGCAGGTCAGTGTGAACGACTACCTGGACATCTACTGTCCGCATTACAACAGCAGCCAGCGAGGGACGCTAGAGCGTGTTGTGCCTGAGCAGTACATCCTCTACATGGTCAACTACCGTGGTTACCGCACCTGCGACCCCCAGCTAGGCTTCAAACGCTGGGAGTGCAACCGGCCCCATGTGCCTCATGCTCCCATCAAGTTCTCTGAGAAGTTCCAGCGCTATAGTGCCTTCTCGCTGGGCTACGAGTTCAACGTGGGCCAGGAGTACTACTATATCTGTGAGTCAGGCCAGAAAACACCTTGTTTATTGTGATGGATAGAAAAAGCCTGAGGGTGCTGCACATTCAATATTTTGATCTTAGAATATAATGAGGAGCTTCTCTTCGGCTGCTGTCACCCATCTATATTGATGGTGTGTAGGTGTTGCTAATGGATTCACGAAGTTGAGCTGGGGACAGCTCTGCAGTTTTAACAGCTAATTATTGAGGGTGGTGTGGCCCGCAGAGGGCACAAGGTTGACATGTTGTGTGTCTTGCTCTCTTTTAGCCACGTCCACCCACCACCATGTCCACAGCTGCCTGAGACTGAGGGTCTACGTCTGCTGCTCCACTGGTGAGACCTACCACCTCTGTCATCCCTCTATAGGTCTCTCCCACTCATTTTATACATTTTCCTTTTTGTCTGTGTCATTTCATCTCCACTTTCCTCTCCCCACTTGTCTCTTTTTATCTCCCAAACACACACACAGAGAAACAGAGACAAAGAGATGAAGAGAAACAGACAGAGAACAAGAAAAACTAAGATCTTGTCTCAGAGATAGGTTTTTCTGCCTCATGCTGTCTTGGTGAGGTTTTGATGATCTATTTTCTGGAAGCAGTGCTTTGAGGGCGATGGCTTAATATTCATCTCTGTCTCAGTGCTATTACAGTAATGCTCTACCTCTCTCTGTAAATGACATACTTTTGTGAAGCTGTGCAAAAAAATGTAAAAAAAAAAAAAAAACAGATTTGCCTGCAATATCCAGCTCTCTCTGTCCTGCTCCTCTCTCTCTGTCACTGTCCATCCTTCTCTCACCCAGCTGTCTTGACCATCTCAATTCCTCATCTTTCTTCCTCAATGTCTATCTCTTCTTCTCTTCTATGGTGCCTGCTGCTCAGTATAGCCTTGTGTTATTTTTACCCTGGTAGCCTGCTCTCTTCCCTGCAGGCCTTTGATCAGTGTGCCCAGTCCTGCAAGCCTCCCTGTCTCCTCTAACCTTGTCAGCACTAATACATCCCACACTCAGGCCAGTGTCAGGCCCTGTGTACGCATCACCTTAACACCCACTCCCCCATCCCAGTGTCAGGGCTAATCTATTGATGCGTCTACCACGCCTCCATTTGCTTCTGTGCATTTGTGTGCGTAGGAGTTTGAACATGTGTGCATGCGCGTGTCTGCACTTCAGCCGTAACTGTTTTTGTGTGTGTGTGTGTGTGTGTGTGAGGGCATGCGTGCATTAATGGCTATCTGAGCGCAAGTGCATTTAGCCTGTTTACGAGCCCCAACCTTTAGTCAGCAAGGTCATTTTAACAGGGTGCTATCAAAATTGCTGTTGATTTCAGCTGCTTCCAGACTCTTTTCATTTTCTCTGTCTCCCATTTTAAGATTTCAATATCAGAAGGATGTGAATGTTCATGACATACAGTGTGCTTTACATCTGTGAAGAGCTGCAAATTGATTGCTGTCAGCTTCTATGTAAATTGTCTGGAAATGCTATTTCATCCTCCTAACCATGCATCTGACACACAGGCTCACATAGACACATTCTGTTTTTTAATAAAGCACAAAATACACAAAGATGTATACACATGCAGATCAACAAACCCACACATCATTCATTCATGGATAATTTGCCAGTGCAGACTCAATGTAATTCCCCGTCTAGACGAACAGTAAATGTAATAATGACTTCTGTCCACTGGTTCCAAACGCATTTAATCTTCAGATGGAAGTCTGTATTCGAAGTCCAGGATTTCTTCATGGTTTCTCAGTGGCAGGGACACACTTACTCCTCTGTGTTCTGCTATAATGGTGCCTAAAATGCACATTTTCTTCAGTGCTGTGTTTTTAATGAGGTGTTTTTTCTTCTTGTCTCTGTTTCACTCACTCTCTGCATCGTAACCTCCTCTGGTTTTAATAACCCTCTTGTTTCTTTCTCTTTGTGTACGTGTGTATACACGATGTGTTTATCAGTCTCCCAGACAGATGATGACTCCAGTCAGACTTCTCCCGACTACACAGTCAGGCCAAACATCAAAATACATCTTGGTGAGTGATTCCGCTTTTGTTTCTGAGTTGCTGAAAATCAACAGCAGCCAATCACCAGATGCTGGTCAATATTTGGCTATGGCTGCAAAGCGTGATTTGTGTACCAGTCATTGTGGAAAGGAACCAACCATTTGTTTGCTTTTTATTCTAACGTTGGCAAAAGAAAATCCACAAAGCTTTGCTGGGTGATGAGTAAAACTTTTATTTTCTGCTCTTAAAAGCTGTGCAGTATGGGGAAGCCCTTACACTTGCATTCTATATACACATACTGTGTACTGTATTTATAATGTTTAATGTGTATTTAGTTACAATCATATCTGTTAGAATTAAAATATGTATGTATTCTAATATGTATAAAAATGAACCTATGTAAATCAACAATATACCCATCCAGTTTATTACAATTTCAGTCTTTTTTTTTATTTTTATAGTTTTGTCCTTCATTTCTGTTGATTATATCATAACAACTACCAAGTAATATGGAAGCACTGAGCCAATATGCCCAATGAGTATTGGCCCCAGTACTGACCTGATTACACAGCTGATTTATCAGTGTCATTATACAATTCTGTCTTTCCTACACGTTAGGGCCCTAACTCAGTTTTTAGTGCCGCATCAATTCCTGGCAGCCCATGATTTCTTAAATAGAAGTCATTTTAATGTTACACATGTTATTACTGTGTTACAGTGTTACAAAGTACACAGATTACAAATCTGGGGAGAAGTAAAAAAGAAGAGCACTAGGAGTGAATTGATTTGATACTGATAAACTGAGTTATCTACACCAGTACATATAAAAAAAACCAGATCAATGCATCCTTTAAAAGTAACTGCTGATACTGGGAACTCAGCAGTGAGATAATTAGGCAGGTTGTAAATAAACGGCACTTTAGCCAGGTCATGTAAAATACTTTACTCTGAGGTAAAGTCAAACATGTCAGTTGAAACTCCCTACTGAACAGAAAAACTGCTCATAGCTGGCAGTTTGTTACTCCCAGAAGACTTATTTTTTTAGCTACGATGAGATGTTCCCACATCTCACATTTTATCATCAATAAGAATAATGGCCAAAACTCTGAAAATAAGACCCATTTGGTGTAAACCTGAACCTTTCTTAATGTTTTTTTAAAGATCTAAATGCAGTAATCTATTTTTAACTCCTACAAAGTAAAGCTTTCATTTGTCTTCTCTGGAAAATCCACAAGATCAGTAGAGGTCGTGCAAGGAATGAAAGGTCCATGTTTACCTAAGGAGAAAGCATGTCAGCCAGCGAGTCAATTGTGCAGCTGAGTGGTTATGTAAACCCTCTATTTTTCTTTCTCTCTCTCTCCATCCCCATTTCAAGCAAAAACCTCTTGCTGAGAATCATTTAGTATACTTGTTTCTGGGAGCTGTAGACAGCCTGTGACGAGAGCTAAGAGAGTGTGACCTGCCTGAGATGGAAACTGAGACCAGCAGAGATGGAGTGAAAAGAGCTCTTGAGCCACCAGCTAGGAGTACCTTCAGAGAGTGAGTGAGAAGGCAGAAAAATAGAGTGAGCAAGAGAGACGGAGGGGAAAAGAGGTAGAGACAAAGTGAGCTAGAGAAAGTCAGAGAGATAAAAGACAGGAAGGAGGCAGTGAAAGAGAACTGCAGCAGGAAAAAGCCTGGCATAGACAGGGACAGATAAAGAGATGAGTGGGGGCAGAGGAGGGGGGTGCAGAGAGAAGGGGCAGAGGAAGAAAGAAAAAGCTCAATGGTGGGCGAATTGCTCAGCAGTAACTCAGGCTCGAGCTTACATAGAATTTAATATAAAAAACACTGACAGGGAATCATAAAAAATCATAGCCTCTAGCATTGTGGTGCATTTTGCTGAATACATTTGGAGGAATATCAAAACCAAGACAAGCAGATTTATGCACACACACACTTAAAAACAACCCATATCCCTGATGGCTCTGCTGACCACTGGACACCCACTCTCTGAGTCAACCTCAGGACCAGACCAACCCACAGACTGGCTTATCATCAAGCCCTCCCCTTCTCTCCACATACGTTTGGACCTGCTGTCATTTTTCTTTATTATTAGCTTTGTTCGTACGTCATGTTCCTTATTTAACATCGTGTCTTATGGAGAAGCCCGATCTAACGTAACTAGACAGCACACGGCGGGCACAAACCTTTGCCAAGACAGCTCAGTTTCCCTTTAATGGAATTCCACCTAAAGACAATATTCCCATGATAGTTCGACTCTCACATTATGATTAGTTGACTGTGAAACCTACCCCTAGCATTTGGAGTCACATTGATATCATTATTAGGTTGGAAGTTATCCAAGAAAAATGATCTTTCACTAATGGATTTCTTCAAGATCTAGCACAGCAACTTTTGAAGATAAGTTGAACTTGTTGAATCAGCACATTTTCAGCTATACTTTAGTGTTGGTCACAGATCTGTAGCATCATTTAATGTCTCACCGTAAAGGGTTTTCCATGAACCCTGTAAATTTGAACATTCTGGATTACTGCATCCATGAACAAACCAACAAACACTGGTAAAAACATAACATCCTTCCTTGGTGGAAGTAATAATCAGACTATTCCAACAAAGTTCATTTCTGGTGATATTGCTAAAGTCAAACAAGGCAAGAAGCATGAGTAAGATGATCGTACAGGGTTTAAACAAGTCCCCAGAGCAGTCAAACTTACTCTGAAGAGCAAATGAAGGCCACAAAAAAAAAAACGATCACCCAAGCTGGCCGCTGCAAACATTCATCACTGTTTATCACCTGTGAAATGAGGCGTTGCCACCATTTGCAATCAGGATGTAAGCAGTGCTTGCAAATCACTTTTATGAAGCAGGCCACTGGTGGCTTGTTTACAACCTGTCAAATTGTCTGACGCACTTGTCTTTCTTGTTCCATTAGAAAGTGTTTCCAGATTTTAGCAATTACTTTGGCGAGTAATATAAACCACAAAGCAAGACCCAGAACTATCCTTCAAGTGTGAATTGACTGGATTTGCCTTTTTTATGGTATTTTGCTTTCTAAACCCCTGGTAACATAGCTCTGTTCTGCTTGTAGCTGTTTTTAACATTCATTATGAATGCTACAAGAACTCAGCATCAGTCTTGCTGGTTCCTTCCTTAATTAAAGCTGCATTAACTACCTTCTCCCTCTAATTTTCAACCATTAAGGGTGAAATGGGAGTCAAAACAAACTCAAGGAGTTTCCCTTCCTCTTTTCCACTCCTGCCCTGTCTCTGAAACTACGTCCTATGTGGTCATGACAGCCGGAGATAGTTGCAGCAGTCAGGTAGCACAGCAGTAATAACCGGCCTCAGAACTAATGCATATGGAATATAGAGCCCGTGGTTTTCAGTGGCATTGCAGCGACACAATGTCAAATAGAGAGGTTTACATTTTAGTGATATGCATACGTATGTCTAAAATGCAGCGTGGACTGCACTGTTATGTCTGGCAAACTGGACGCAGAGCATTTAGCAATTAAAATGAAATGAAATGAGCCTGGTTTGAAAAACATGTCTTATAACCTCAGATCAGCAGAGCCATGGGCGAAGTGTGGTACAGATTTTAACAGCACTGACCACAGAGGGCAAGAGATAAACAGAAAGCCTGAAGATAGCAGTGTGGAGTTTAGTACAACAGGGAGACAGCTCCTCCAGACAGTTTATTTGATTTGTCAGAATTTGTGCTAAATCTTGGTTAATGCAGGTTTAATCAGAACTTTATAGCTTCCCTTGGTATTCTCTATGCATTCTTCCATCTGTGACGTCCTTGACCTTAAAACATTCCTTCTGTACTCTTATATAAAGCCTGAAACATGAATTAGGTAGTGGACCAGAAAATGTAACTGTAAGAAAGATGCATCAGTAGACATGATCATACTTGATTCATCTGTTCTGAATGGTTTATTATGAGCTGAATTTCTTAAATCATATATGAAATATATTGCACCAAGAAAACCAAAACCCAACCTAGTAAGTGCAGTCTGAGGAACTGAAACCCTGGTTCTGAAAGATGTTGGACCTCCTTTGGTGCAGATAAAGAATGACACACTTTTAGATATCAACTTAACTCCTGCTAGTGTAATAATAATTGGACCAAAATGACATTTTTTTCATTCATCTCAGCTTGACCTTGTGTTCATGTTATCCATTTTCTTGTTGGGATGGGGGTTATTTTGTTTTGCATTATGCTAACCAACTAGCAGCTAGTGAAGCTTCCATCCTTTCTGAAAACATTTTCAGTTGACATGGAAGCTGTGGTAGTTGTTAAAAGTAATTAGCAGAAGGTCTTTAATGCCAAATGAAGAAATATGCCATTGTAAGAGTTAAGTGTGAAAATTGATTCACAAGAACTGACAGCTACATCAGTCTGCTCACTCTTGTTGCCCTGTGTTGCTTATGTAGCAATGGATGTAAGTAGCTATAAAAGACTTCAACTGTCAGATCTGTTACTGGACATGCCGGAGATCCAGAGGTCTGGTGGCCTCCTCAAGTTAAAGCTAATGTTGTCTGTGGTTACTTTCATGAGCACAGAGACACCAGTGCTCTGTAGAATTGGCTGATGAGGTTAATGAGCAGAGGCTACACTTTCATTCCTAAGTAAATCATATCTTTTCACATGAATTTTCTTCAGACCATTCTAGGAAAAGTCTTTCATTGTGACCAATGAAAGACTTGTCTTTCCTCACCATCACCATTGGAAGTCGACTGTTCACACTAGAATATAACTTCTTGTCGACAGTCTAGTGCTCTCACTTTAAATGCCTCAGGCAGCTTACCGTGGACAGGATGCTCGTCTGTTATTATATCCTATACAGAAAACACTGCACTTCATAGGGTGCTCAGAAATTGATTGCTGTATCCCACAATTGTACTGTGATGTTAGGTCATACTGTGGACTTTTGATAACTTGTTGTGGCCCGAGGCACCCAAAGTCCCCCACTTTTATCTTCCAAGGGCAGCCTCTCTAAATAGCAGAGGTTTTGAAGAAGTGCATATCGTGCAGCTTTGTGATTGCCAGAGCTTTTAACACCCACTAACAAGTTTGTAAGAATCCATTCAAATGCAAAGAAACTGCAGAGATAGAGTTGTGCAGCAAGAGGCACCTAGTTTGGTCACTGAGTATACACTGCACCGCTGAAACCTGTCTGATGAGACGTTTTGGGTTTGAAGACGTCACTGTGACCTGTTGGCCCTACCTGAGGCAACCCTGGCGTCTCTTCTCACCCTGCCTTCACTTTGTGTTTTCTGTCTGTGTTCATCCCAGTGCACCACGGTGTGAATGTCAGTGTTGCGTGTCATCACCACAGACAGGCGCCTTATGTTTCTTAAAAAGAACTCTGACAAGGGTTAGAGTCTCACACAGCCAGAACAAGCCAGAGCGGATGGATGGGTTACTCTCAGGCTAGCGACAAAAACAAAATTCCATACATTCATCAAACATCAGCTGTCATGTGGTTGTTGGTTTTATATGTTATCTCTTATCACCTTTCTTGTTCTTACTCGTAGTCAATTAGTTTATTATATTTCACAAACTCCAGCCAAGGCTTTAATGTGACAGTGAAACAGCATTTTGGAGGAATCCTTCTTCCTTTGATTTATTTCCTGTTGAAAGGCAGTTTGGTTTGATGAAAGACGATATTTTGGTTAGAGAGTATGTATTTGCAACATTATTATGGCATGAAGTAAAAAAATGGGATTTTAAGAGAGAATGTGTCAGTTTGGGGCACATTTAGTCAAATATGTATATCCTGTCTTATATCAAAACAAGCATTTCCTCTTTGCATTGTGATTGTATACTGTTAAACCTCAACAATCTTACATCAGTATATCACACCTCAAGGCTTTCAACTCTTCTATCATTCCTCCCCTTTATCTACATCTCTCTTTTATGTCTGATAATGTGACTGATGTCAGGAAGAAATTGCAGCTTCTGCAGTTACCTCATAGAAAAAACATAGATTTTTCTAACACCTCTGTGCAGCTGACTCGGATTGTCCTGGAAAAGGTGAGGGATCTGTAAGCAACAGAGCTCTGTTTCGTTCCTTTTGCTTTATTTTGGTATGTGATAACCCTCTAGATATAATGAGAAACATTATGTTGAGATGGAGCATAATGGCTCAGTGTAATTCACTTTTTACCAAATGTTACAAAATATGTTCTCCCAGCTCTTTCTCTGTTTTTCCCCTCCAGCTTAATGTTCTGTTGTGTCTAATCAATGGCAAGGCCGTAGTAATTTGGTTTGATTGAAATCCCGCTAGGATAAAAACATCATTAGTGTGAACAGAGGAATACATAAAAAAAAGAAAACAGATCAGAAACAAAAGTGTTTTTAATTTTCCATCTCATGGGGGAAATGGCCATATGTAGCGATGCTGATGATAATTGGTGGTTTGTTGATAATTGCATCATGTCTCTTTCTCTGCATATGTTAAAGCACAATTTGCATGCACTGCTCAATGCCATTAGATTGATGAATTAATAATGTAGTAATGGTTCGTTTCCTTCTGTCTGGCACAAACACTGTCTCTCTCACTCTTTCACACTCACATTCTTCTTTTTTCTCAATTTCTTATTTTCTATTTCTGTGGCTTTCTCTCCAGATGAATTTAACCCTGAAGTTCCCAAACTGGAGAAAAGCGTCAGTGGCAGCAGCCCATCACGTGATCGCCTTCTTCTCACTGTGGCGATGCTGCTCGTGTCTGCCGTCCTTTTGTCCTAGCGACTCTCACCATGAGTGACTCTTCATACATAGCTGGACCACCTTGTCCAAAGGGCTTTGTATCCACCTACTGCGAGTCTCTCATGTGAAAGTTGGCAGAAACAGAGAAGAGAATCAAGTTAACGTCCAAAAGAACATCCAAAACAATCCTTGAACTTTACTGGACTTTAAAAAAGGAGGCCTTTTTGCTGTCATATTTATACCAGTGTATTTTGACACTCCATTTGTTGTTGAACATCATTATCATATGAATACCACAGCATTTCATGCAGGTGTGTTTGCCCCAACATGAAGGACCACAACCACAGACTGGTTCAGACTTCTGCGCTCCTAGCAGCCAACAGGTGGGTGAGATGGTGGACTTGGAATGAGCTGGATGGAGACTACACGCTATTATCGTAGCATGGATATCAAATCACCTGAGAAATTTCAGCTGCACTGTCTTCAGCTGACGACAGCAAGGTTTTTGTGGCTGTAAGCCTTGATGAAGGAGGCAAATGTAACAGAGTGGATTTGCAGTGAATTCTAAGGCCTTGGACCATGGACCAAGTATGGTGATGGATTAAACTAAGCTCTGATGTAGTTAAAAAAAAAAAAACAAGCTTGACCCTGGAACTGTTCTGATCTTAATTGGCTATACAGGATATTTGTATAACCAGTAATGAGAACTGCCACCCTTGCCCTGGACAGTGAAGAATGTTTTCACACTGGAGTGAGGAAGCTGCTGGTAATAAGAGCCCAAGGTGTTTCTTAAGAAAAGGAAAAGACTTTGTGAGAGCCTTTCAAGAATCCATTTCCTCCAGACATCAAAAATACCCCTAGCTTTTTGATAGGTACAGATGCAAAGCCTGCATTTCTTAGAAGATAGTGAGTGCCCTCTAAGAACTAGTCCTTTGTCTGCATTTCCTGCCTTCACACTGTAACAACCCTAGAAAAATACAGACCCTGGACTAGTAATTTGATGGCACTTAGACTTGGTAGATGTGGTAGATGTGTGTATTGTTCTGACGCATTTACCTTCAGCACTTTGCGTAGATTTTCCAGGCGTCAAACCTTTCTCATCACAGCAATCAGTAGAGTCATTCAGAATACCAATAATTTACAGTACTTAAAAACTCTCTCAGCAGCAAGTTCCCTTTCAGCTGCGGACAGCCCGGTCTATTCCTTTTCCACTTCAGAGGTTCCCAGTCAGTCGGTGCCGATGGCCATTACAGCAGTCACAGTCACCATCGACACAACCCCATACAGTCGCCAGAGTGCGGCAGGTGCCTGAGGAGAAATTGTGCTTTGAGTCTCAAAGTAACGCTGCCGCCATTTTGTTAAAAAATCAAACTAACAAACAAAAAAAGAAATAAAACAAAACACAAAAACAGGTGTGAATGTGCAAAAAAAGTTCACTTTTTTATATTGTAATACAGGACAACATAGGCTGCCATTAATCAGATTACAAAGTTGTGCTTTTTTTTAATTTACTTTTCAAATGTATTTATTTTAACATTAAAGTATATTATTTATCTACCTAATTAGTGTGCATTTGTAGGCCTTTGCTCAATAAGCTATTGTGCCATTTTTTTAATTCTTTTTTTAAACTGTGGACTTTTTACTGCAGCATTTTGCTTGTGTAGATTAATAGTCAGATGTAATTCAGCCTGACAAAAAGAGAGGCTATTGGTTTTCACTAACCAGTAGGGACATACACTCATTAACCCTACTCTCTAACTGCTAACCAGATTATGTTGCTGAAGAGCATGTCAGAAACCAACTGTGAATACACAGACAGAGCCAATGCTAATGGAGGGCAGCATTCCTCAAGTGCTGCACATGCGAAACGACGGAGTCTGCATTGTAATGTATATTTATAATACCTGCCGGATATGGAATGTGTGTGTGTATGAGTGTGTTGCGCGTGTGTGAGTGAGCAAGAGAAAAATGATATGTGTGCACATTTGTGTGTATGTAGGTAGAATGTGTTTGTCCGCGCTTTTCGAGTATGTGGCATTTAGAAATTTCGTACCTGTTAAGGAGTCGTTTGTAGAATCTGAATATGCAAGTGTGTATGAGAGAATGTGCTCTCCTGTAATGTTAGTTTACGGTACGGGGTTGCCAAGCAGATGACAACCACAAAGAAATGTGTTTACCTTTGACAAGAATTAATTAAAAAAAAGCTGTAAATTGAAACAAGAATGATTAAGAACAATGCCAATTAAAATCTTTTTGCAAATTTACACGTGTTTTCATTTAGAAGAAAATGACTTTTTAACAGTTTCATCTCATTTCCTCTGTCTGCCCTTTTTTTTATCTTGACAGTCACTCCCTCACCTTCACTCACTCTGAACCCACCTCTGTTTGTTTTTCTTGAGCACTAATTGAAAGCAGTGCTCTCCTACTTTCTCTTGCACTCCACTTTTAGACATGTTGGTTTCTAGCATACATGTAAACAGACAGTACTCGTGCTGCACATATTTTGGTGTAAAACTATCACCCTTCCTCACATGGCCCCTCCTTACGGCGCCTCACTTTGGTTTCTCAAACACATCTCCTGCCATAAAACATAATGACAGTGTGAGTGTGTGTATGGGTGTGAGGGTGGGAGTCACAGCTCCACATCTTCTACACTATCCATCTCTCTCCCTCAACAAAAAAAAAAAACACCTGCAAGCCATTCATGTCTCCACAAATCTGTCTCTCCATGTCACTCTCCTTCCCTCCACTCAGCTTCATTCTAGTCTTCATATGCAAAACAGAAAGAGGCTGACAATAGGGAGGGACATGTGTCTCAGATGCACTAATGTTCATGTTAAAAAGGGACAGAGGGGGCAGATACGGTAAGATTTTGTCTTTGATGTTACAGATGAAGCCTGAAATGTCATGAGAGAGAAAAAGAAGTACAGCATATTCTGCTGTCGGTTTCATTCCAAACTTAGGTCAAAGTACATTTCCGTGTGTGTGTGTGTGGAGGGCTTGTGCCAAGAAATATTCAAAGTTAATTTAATATGCATTGATTTTTTTTTTTTTGGCATAATGTGAGTCATGCTGAACCAAGCAGGTTGCAATGAAATGATCATGTCTATTAATGCCTGTTACACAGCTGTTTGGCTCTGCTGTGAGGTAGCAGCTCCTGATTCTCTCTGACATTTGTGTATTTAGCTGACAGTCTGATACTTGCTGAATATTGCAGTTGGCCTTAGCTTACAGTCCTTAGTCTCCACAGACAGTGGAAGGGTTTTAGCGTTCACTCTGGAACCTGCATTGACAACTTAAACCATCATTTTGCAAAAAAATTAGCCTGTTGCATTTTTGGCAGCAAGGCTGCCTCAGCTTAGTTATGTAAGGGAATTAACACTGTCATCTTTACACCTTGAATTTCTGTGTGGAAAAGCGTATGTTTTGCTTGTGCTTAAGTGAAACATTAATTGACTATTCAAATGAAAGAATCAGGCATGTTGCCAGCGGATTAAAAATACCTACCTTTCCATGAGTAACTGAAACAGAGCCTAACATTTTTACTGTGAAATGGATATCTAACAAGCGCTCTGTCCAGACTCTAACTAAGGAAGACGTTCCATTAGCAAAAAGAAGATGACCTCTTCTCCATTTGGAGGCATATTATCGTTTTCTGAATCATTTGCTGTGAGAAAAGCCATCTGTAGCATGGGCAGGCCTGTGCCGTCATGAAGAATTCCCCTGACAAGCTGCACCGTCTGGCCCAAACAATGAAACAGATGCCTCCTCCTCAGAGAACTTGTTATAGCTAAGGCCATCAATGAGACAATTGCTGAAAATAGTGCTGCCTTTGAGTGCTCCTTGGAAATTCCAATTTCAAGTTTAAAAAGTGTTGCTGTTGTTGAGTTGATTCTCATTTGAATGTCTCTGGCCAGACAATGATCCAGATCTAGTTTTTCATGTGTTTCGTTTTTAAAATAATGCAAAAAAATAAAAAATAAATCGGCCAGAGAGGTTGCTCCTTCAGGAATAACCCCCCGCTGAACTGATCCCTGTGATTTATGGCCAGCCGAGTAACCATTTATTCCAAAATCTGTACATGTAGGACTAGTACACATTAAACAAACCGTGCGTTTATTGTGTATATGTGTAATAATTAAAGTTTCATGTGGTCTCTTGTGTCAGATAAGTTTTCTAGTTACAGTTTCAAGGTAAAAATATGTTACATGGGAAACAAAAGTCTTTCTCGTGTAACATATTGGCAAACAGCAAATCATTGTAAGTGACTAAACTACTTTCTACCCAAAGGTGTCACCAAAGCTTTCTTTCACTTTGGAGTTCTGAAGGTGTGGCAGACAGTGAGATGCACACAGGGCATCTGCAAAACATTATGCGACAGATTTACTAAGTATGTCTCCCTTTAAGATAAAGACTGAATTCAGAAATGTTGACAACTATGTATTATGCGGTCTGTGCAGCTTGGAGCGATTTAACTATCTTTATTCATCTAAGCAGGTCTGAAGTTCATTAGGACTAAAATTCAGTATTTCCCCAAACTCACTGAGGGAGTTTAGTGTGACATCACCATAACCCAAGTTAGGCACTGCCTGCGAGGGTGCTCGGGGGCACTCGGTATTAACAACAACAATGATGAATCAGTGAAGAAAGTCAAGACAAATAAATTAGGTCTTAAGGGCATCAAAGTAAAAATAACTCAGGAGAATATTGTCTGTTATGCAACAGTTGAAAGGATGATCTGACCTGCTGCTTTAACAATTTTTCTCAACTCTCAGCCAGAATATATTTGTTCAGAGTTGACTGTATTATAATGGCAGCTACTTCAGGGTTACATGTAAATCTGAGTTTATTCTTGTCTTAATCTGTGGACTGGTTTGTAGTTTGTTTGGTTTCTCTCTCTCTCTTTTTTTTATTTTGTGCACATACAGGATGTCCTTTTTGAAGTTCACATATAATTTTGTCATTTTCAAAACACCCTGATTCACTGAGGGTTGTACTGAAGATACTGAGGTTATGTTCTGTGTATTTAGTCTGAGAATTCGGGGTGTTAGTAACCCGTACTAGTTTACAATCTATACTTTAAAAATAACACTTGGATAATTTTTAAGATGATTCCAGCATTTCAAACTTTTTTTATTTTTAGGACAATAAATCTATCAATGAAGTGTTCTGTGTTTCCACTGAGAAGAATCCAACACTAGAACCTATAAAGCTCACTATGACTGTACCAAGTGAAGCTTAATGATCTCAGTTCCATACAGTAGCTGCAGTATGTACCTGCTCACCTGGCCGCAGGTGGTATCTCAGATGTGATGTGCCCCCTGCTCCGAAACTATCCTCGTGGGACCTCTTCAAAAATTTCTAGGATTGGACTTGCCATTCCTCCAGCTTCAGGTCACAGTGAATCAACTCTCTTCCTCTGCAGACAGAAACTGACCCAGGTGGGGGTTTGCACTAAGATGAAGTAAGGAGACCTTTTGGGATCCAAAATGACATCATTTAATCCCCTGGGAAATATGATGCCAGCTCCTGCAACAAAGATACTGGCAGGACAGGAGAAGACGAGGTGATGGTCCACTGCTGACGAAAGCAAGTTATCAAGGCAAGTGCATGTGATATGTCAGCATTCACCTCATTATGTATCAGCTTTTGTGTAGCACTCAGGATCTGTGGAGTTGGCATTCAGTTTCATTAACACTCCCTTCTGAGCTGGTAATTGACCCTTAGAGCAGCAAGAGTTCTGAAATCTGAAAACAGCAACAATGTAGCTTCCTTGAAATAGGCAAAGCTTTATTTAATAGTCATTTTGGACCTAAATTAAATTAAAACATCTAGTTTTGCAATAATAGTCCTCTAATTTAAGGTTTTATATGACAGACTTTCCTTGGACGAGTTGTTGAGAGGCACAAAAATGTGAATGTGCATCTTAATTAGAGTAGCGTTAAGCTTCCTAGAGGGCTTTGCTTTTGCACACATTATTTGGGTTCTTGCCAATCCTCTCCAGATCACTTGACTAATGTGTTGACAAGTGGAGGAAAGTTATCACAGAATATCAAGCAGACCACATTTTCCATCTGTATCAGCCTCTAGTACTAGCAGATATGGCGTGTGTGAAAATGTTTTGAATATTAAAGAGGGCAGGATTTGACTGTAACTCTGGGTTAGAAGGAATGGAGGTAGAGAAGATATGAGGCTGTAAAAAGACAGATATTTTATTCACCTAGCTTAAATATGAATTTACATTTATACACCTATCAGTGAATACAGTCTTATGTAACCTTTCTAAAACTATCAGTTTAAAAAGATTAAAGCTTCTTATGAATTGGAAAAAACTTTAAATTCTGCTGAAAGCTGAACTGCTCCTTTGCAGAAACGACATCCTGGCCCTCTCCCATGTGTGAGTACATTAATGGAAGTGAGATTTAATATGTTCAACTGCAGCTTCTTCTTGCCCGCATTAATACAGCCTTGCAGATTGTAAGTGGAAAACGTCAAAGAAAACAATGAATTTGTAACTAAATGAAAAACAACCTCAAAAATTCCCACCTCAGAATAGTTTTTCTTTTCGATAGCAGTCTGTCTTCCCTGCAACCTTCAATTGTTTCAGCTGTTGGTCTCTTCCTTCTTCCTGTTCTTTTGATTTCTCACATTTTCTCTGATTTTCTCCACATCATTTGTGTCCAATCTTTCAACCACCAGGCTCAAACCCTTCTTAACCCTTGTTTTCATTTTAGACAGTTATACTCTCCCTCCAGTTTCAGCACTGTTCTGTAATCACATACCTTCTTTTCTCCCTCCAGATTTAACTGTAATCCCTCATTTCTGGTTGGTACATTTGCACAGCACTCACCAGCTGGGGACCTACACATAAAAACAGCCACGGACCTTGTGTGTGTGTGTACACACACACGTGCCCATACTTTGGGCATCTGGACAAAACTTAAGCCCATTAATGGCTAATGCTTGCCTCCAAAACGATGAAAGGCTGAATGATTCAGGATATTACAGAATGATGCAAATAATTTTCAAAGGAAATAGATTATACCATTTAAAATTTACAGAAAGCTGCAAAGAGAGAACATCATTTCTGGTTTGTAAATAAATGTTTTACAACGAAAACAATTTAGCACCTAACACCTCTCTCTCTTTATTTAACCAGGGAAAAAACCCATTGAGATCACGATCTCTTTTACAAGGGTGACCTGGCCAAGAGGTCAACAATACATGTCGTCAAT